ACAGGGGGGGTGGGGGTGGGGTGGGGGTGTGGGGGTGGGTGTGGGTGTGGGTGTGGTTGAAGGAAACAAGAATATCCACACACCCTTTTTACATGGTTTTTGATTGAGTTTGAAAAGTGCTGCAGACACAGATTATAAAGATTATTCTTTTATTAACTTCAAATATAATTAACACCGTCTTAACGGAATTTGCCACATGATAAGGTAGACTGCGATGTATGGTACTGCAATCACTAGAGTTTCTTCAAAATGGAGTAAATTTATAGTAGAAGAGCATCGAAATCGACCATAGATGGATAAATAATAAACTCACTATTTCTCAATTTCACTATTGACATTCATGAATCACACATGAAATGCAAAAGAAGTAGCTCATATTGGTCTAAAGTGCCACTGAACGGGGTCTCGGGCCAGAGTCTGAGTGCGAATCGAGTCAAACAAGTTCGGATAGTTTCGAGTCTTGATCATCGATGAGTTTTAAAGAGGTCTTCGATATACAAGAACAAGTACGCTTATTTATTCCAAAAATAATTAAGTGGAGAACAGCCAAAATAAATGCATATTAAAGACTAAACTACACTAATGTACGTAGGTCTATTTAACTATTTTCATTGGTTAGAACCGAGCCGAATCAGCACCCGAAAAAATCAAGTTGTGTTGTAGGCGGTCACGGATTCGTTTTCTGTGAAAATGCCTCTGAAAAATTGTTTGAAGGCTAATAAAACAGGTAGCAGTCCTCTGTACGACATGGTGGTAGAAGCAGTATTTGAACACCAAAATGGTGTTGATTTTGAAGTTGCCGGAAAATTACCGGTGTGGATGTGCGTGAAGCTCTTCTCTTCGTCTTTAATGGTAAGATTCTGCAAATTGAAAGCAAATTTTAGAGGGAAAAGACAAACTTATAGATAAGGAAAAGAGAATCAGTAATACTTTTTTATGTATATAGCACAACTGAATCTTTCTTCGACTGTACATTGGTCTAAAAATGCCGTCACAGTTGCGGGATCATGGAGTGGTCAGGATGGTTCGTCTTTGAATAAACTTTACTGGAACTCTGGCTTGTACATTGCGGACGATGGTATTTTGTATGTCGCTGATACTGGGAATCGACGAATAGTACTGGTCAAGCCTAATTCCACTACAGCTGTGGCCACCATTGGAACTGGATCAATCTCTGGTGATTTTGAGTTCGGGTTCGCTGTAGATGTTTTTGTTTCCAAAACATACATTTACGTCTTGGACAGGGGTGCAGAACAAGTGCAGAAATGGTTGATAAATGCATCGAATCCAAATACTGTTTACGGAAATCCACAGAGTATTATTAGTATTCCACGATCAAGCTATTTCTTTGTCGATATGGATAATAACTTGTATGTGAGTGGTTCTTACACAGCTACAGTGATACGTATTCCGTCAGACTCATCAAATGGTAGCAATGGTGTCGTAGTTGCTGGCAATGGAATATATGGGTCTGGACCTGAGGAGCTCACATATCCATGCGGAATCTTTGTGGATGATGCTCGTACAGTATATGTAGCCGATTCCAACAATCATAGAATTCAAAAATGGGCTGTTGAAGCTTCTTTTGGGGTGACAGTTGCGGGTAATGGGATGTGTGATATTAATAGTTTGAGCCAGATATGCAATCCAACTTCAGTTGTTGTCGATTCAAATCAATATATTTTCACTATCGACAATTACTTTTTTCGAATTTTACGTTGGGCACCGAATTCTAATGTTGGTGAGTGCATTGCCGCTTGTTCTGGAAATGAAGGTCTTCAATCTGATCATCTCTCTCAAGTATATGCAATAGCATTAGATGGCCAAGGGTCTCTGTATGTCAGTGATCAGGATAACAACCGAGTGCAAAAATTTCAAGTCATTGTTAATTTTGGTAAGTAGAGTGACCATTTCAATGCATTTTTTCTAATAATATGTGTGCTTTATCGACATATATTGCTTAACCTGATACGAATTATATTCATAGCGCATCGGATGCTCAAAAAAGCTACTTATTTGAAATTTTAAACTTGAAAACAATTTTGTAATGATCGTCTGATACAACTGTCACAATCTTGAGCAAATCATGAAAATTCGTAAAAATAGATTTAGATCATACAAACACGTAGTAATGAATGAGAGTTTTATAAGAAACCAGATGGAATCTGAGCTCAGCTCAAAATGCGAAAAATGTATGCAGCATTTCGAATTTCAGTGTTCAGTTTTCAACGAGACGTCGATGACAAAAACTCTTATTATCATTAAGAGTAAACTCTTTAATTTAGTTTCTTCACATTACGATATTGCTAGGCGAAAATGACTTTGGATTGTACATATGTGGCTGCCGGTATTGGCATCGATAGTCACACCTGCACCCTCAAGATCAACGTTAAGTCTGGCTTTATTATGTTGATATGATCAAAAAAATCATAGACTAAAAAAATCTCCAGATTTTACTCCGGGCAAGCGAAACATTATACAAAAAATCAAATAAAATTTGCACAATATAGAGTTCACAATGACTCTAATAATGTTTCAATAAGTATTAGACAATGAGCCTTTTTCGAGATCATCACATCACAAAATTTGAAGTTCGGATGCGAAATTCTACATAGAAACAAGAAAAAAGTATCGACTAATAGCTATGAAGTTCTTCGTACTTGAATAATCAGTTTACTCATCTATCCATCGACATAATCACAAGCTCTTTACCGCGTCGTATGTCACTCCATGTCTATGTTAGGCCAAGGATTATGCAGAATATGTTATTTAAAACGAATAGTTCGAAGATGTGATGCAGCAAGTCTCAAAAAATAAAATATTTCAAATCTTGAGATTGAATCAATCCACTTTCATATGACTCATACATTTCATACCACGACTATCAGGTGATCCTCGAGATGAGACAGGTAAGGTGCGATAGGGGTAGTTATCCTCACAAATACACTCAATCGTGCCAAAATTGACTTTCAGATTGCGATGCTAAAACTTATCTATCATTCCAAATTGTCTAGCTGTCATTACATGTTGTTGACCTTAAACTTGCCAATATGTTTAACTATGCTAGTAAAATGCTGATGCTCTTGTCATAATTCGATTAGGTAACTGATACCTCTTACCTATACTAGACAATTTCGGTAGTCTACTAAAACGTCAAAATATGTTCTTTACGACATCAAATAACGTCTTTTTTTCGATTTTCTCAACCCAAAAATACACGAAAGCTTTTCGATTACTTCCATATGCTAAAACATTTAGAGTTCATCTGTCACATAAACCGTACGACAATAGGTATTTTGAGTAGAGTAATAAAAGTCTCGAGTTTGCGAATGAATATGCCTAAAATATTAGAGCATTTTTAAGGTAGCAGAAAAATTTTTGTGAATTGTTCCGCCGAAAACTCTTTTTGAAGCATTTATGAGTCGAAGAAATTGAAAAGAGGGTGCTTGATAGTGTAAATACCAATTTTTGATGCTTTATTACGCTATGGAAATTTATCACAGCAGGTAGTATTAAATAGGACGGAGGCGTATCTTTTGACTTTGTTGTTTTAGAACTTCAATTTTCTGGAATTCGATTATTGGAGGTGTATTCTCTATAATCATACTGTTTTTTTTTAAGTGCTTGAAAAGACTCAAATGTTCAGGTGAAAGTTAGCGTGTTAGCAAATGAAGCAGAATTAGAGCTGAGGAAAAAAGTGAGACATTTGGATGAATCTAACTGCGGTTCTTCCCTTCATGGTTGTCCACCCATAAATAGATGATAGTTTGTTTTTTCGAGGTTAGTACGAAAAAACCTAAATCATTCAGAGTATTGAGAAACAAAAGAAAGTGAAATTCGCTCATATCTATTACATATCTATCTGATCAGGGTGTAGAAAAAAAATTCCATATCAATTGTATTGAAAATATTTTTTAGAACAAGATTCGACTACAGTCAAAGCAACATCAAGAGCAAACATATCCATATCAACAGGTAATAATGATGTGCTTTCTTAAGGGCACTTCAAGCTTAACTGTTTCCGAGGTTTCTCGCGAGCGACTGATGAAGAGATTCTGAAACTGCCAAGTCTCGTGAACTTTGGCTCGTAAAGCATTCGTTGGTATGGAAACGAAATTTTGGGGTAGATTTTCGCTCTTCTAGTGAGTAACAGAATCACCAGTGCTAAAAATATAGCTGATACTATCGTCCTAAATATTCTTCGCCACTTTCAAAAATATTGATCTTTTTACAAATGGAAATAAAAATGGTGAGTGCACAATTAAAGAAGCTCGATTTTTGTGTATTTTCATAATAGTGCAAATTTTGCGCTTAACATCTACTAAGCATAGCTGCAAAATCACTTCCTCGAATGGAAGAAACCTAAGCAATCGGCTTTCGATCTAGTAGTCACAAGCAAACATTCAAGTCAATTGGACGTAGCATGTGGGGGAAAATAAGAGAGTACTTTGAATTTTTCTTTACAAAAATGATTTCTCGAAAAATGAAACAAAAAGTAATTATTTTTCTCTTTTTTAGCGTAGGCTCTCATATTTCTTCCCATTCTTTTGATATGCAAACAGTTACAGTTAATTCTTAAAATTTATTCAAGATCCTGTGGACACCTTAGGCTATATAACGGCTCAGAAAAATCCAGCAGTGAAAAAGTGGTACCTTTTGGATCCAGAAAAGGGAAAAGAAGTATCTCTTCATGCTATTTATTCGGTTGTACGTGAAAAATTAGATTGGCAAGAGATGTTAATCTGGTATTGCAACGAAACTGTAGAAATAAACATTTCAGAAAAGAAGTCTAGAATAGTGAAAATATTCAAAGAAACACAAAGAGAAGCTATCATATTCATAGAATGGAAAATAGAAAACCGAAGAACAGTATGGTGTCCATCTTTCTTGATGCTCAACAGCTCACTGTTTTAATCTTCAAATTCTGGAAAACATCGTACCAGGATCGCTGTCGTCATTAACATTTCAAATAGAGAGATGCTTTCGGATCAAATCAGATTTCAAAACAGATATGCCGAAAATCCTTGAAAACTTTATCCCTTCTGTTGATATGTCGGCAAAAAGGTCTTCTTACCTAAGGAAATTAAGTAGCTCAACTTTTGCAGAAAGTCTTTTCTTGGATCATCAAAGAGTGATCTAGATTCAGTCGTGTGATTGGGAGTCTTACGTAAATAATAGTCGTGACTGGCGAATGATTCAAAGCCTATCAGTGATGCGTCGCATCAAAAGGCTGCACTTGTCTGGTCACAAAAATGATCATGACCATTGGTTTGAGAGTTAATCATAAATCACTGAAGAAGGAATTGAAAAATTGGTCTTGAAGCACTCATCAATTCTCGATGTATTGATCCTTACAATCATGCGTAAAAATGCATGTGTTTTTTTAACACAGCTTTTCCATTTTTCGATCGATGGTCAGTAAATCACGATTTTTGCACTAGTCGGTTGTGACTCACCACTAGAGCCTGCCCTAAATTCTTTAACTATCAAAATTAATCGAGTAAAGTTCAAGTGTTCTGTATTGTACCTCTTGATGCTTTCAGAACAACCGCCATTCACCGATTCAACAACACCACTATTCTGCTTTAAAGAAGGTATGTGACAGCACTTTTACTTTACTTTTGAAATCAACACTATTGACTTTTCTAGCACACTGTCGCTTGATCCTAACGATAATGACAATATGGACAACTATACGATTGTAATTCGTTTGAGAAAGAAAACACGATAAATTTTCTTAAACACATATATGCTTACTTAAGTGCTTGATTTTGCTAAAGTAAATAACAAGTACATCACAGAAAAATTGAACTCTATCGAGAAAACACCAATTTATCTCTCAAAGAACAGAGTGGTTCAATCTGTTAATCTCAAATCTTGCTTTTCAGCGATCGACTAAGTCGCAATAATTTCAAATGTAGATAATTTGCTTAATAAAATACTCAATAAAAATAAATGCAAAACTAATTAAGGGTGCGGGTGTGCTGGTCTTCTGTTCACTCACACCGCCAGCCACACCCTTCATTTATTCTTTTGAAATAGCCCTGCTCTTAAAAGATTAAGACTAAATTCGAAAATAAATCATATGCTAGGTTTATTTTACTTGATTAAATATTTCATGAACGCAAGAACAAAGAGTGAAAACAATTTGTTTGTCATTATAATTACTTAGAATATACAATGACTACATAATAATAAATACGAAAAAATCATATCCATAGACCAAATTTTGATTTTTCAATAGAAATATGACTGTTTGGAAATCGTTTTTTCACCATCAAACGATAAGGTTCAACTTTCGCATCATTCACTTTACCATAAATATTCAGGAAAACCAAGTCATTCATTTATTCGACTAATTGATGAAGATCGTGTACAAAAACACTTACATGTCGTACTAATCAAAAAGACAATGCATATTTTTTTCCAAGTCTCTTTGATTTATTTACCAATAGATTCCCATGTTGGTAAAGATTTCAATCATCGTCGTGTCATAATTCCATAATATTCTCATTTAAAGTCGAGTAGCGCTTGCAGAGAAAATTCAAAAAAATATTTTTTGTCATTCAACACGAAAGATGTTTTTAACTGCCCTTCGTTCTTTTAACATTACAGTCTCTCCATTCGTGACGTAATAATAATTTCGCACTTTCTATTTTCAGTATTTCAGCGGAACGAAGTCCGATAAAGTTAAAATTTTCAGAATATATTTAAGCCAAGTTGCTTTACACATCCTCAAAGTTTCATTAGAATTGAAGCTTTCTTCCCAATTCTATGATTGAAATATAGGCCCGTGGTGGAATTACCAAAAATGGTTTTGAGTTTGAGTGTTATCTGAAGAACTGAAAAATTCAGCACAAATAAAATTGCGAATCAAAAACTTTCTGTAGGGAACTTATAGC